CCTCCATTAACTGGAGGAGGGGCACCACCTGGACCACCACCACCACCACCACCACCACCACCTCCACCACCACCAAGTCATAAACCAGTTCTCCTTAAGTCCCATTTCTATTCTTCAGATTGCTGACAGGCTAAGCAGGACTCCTTTCTCTCCCCTCATCACAGTGTTGTGCTCTTCTTTCTTTATTTTTTTCTTTTATTCAAAACAATGTATCCGTAACAGCATTTCTCATATCAATGTATTAACATTCAGGCTTTTTATCTAGCACTTTTTCATCTTTCAACTTTTAAATGAATTTTTTTTTTTTTGCACTGAGCTCGTATGAAATTTCACAAACATAAACCCCGGGACCAATGTCATGAATTAGCATTCGATAAAACATCATTTTCCTTGTAGCAGAAAACTTATGAAACACCAAAATCGGAAAGTGGACACCTCTTTCTCAATCCATGTTTCCATATAACGTATCCATATATATATACATGCACATTATGCACTGTAAACTAAACTTTTTATTCAATTCCCAAGGCATCACAATTTTTCAACTCTTAACGCCCCATACAACTGATATCCCTGTCATTCTAGCACCTTTGTGAATTTGCACAGAATAGTTTTATCTATGCCACTTTGAAAAATGTTCTGCATCAATTTAGTTTTCATTCTAGTCATCAGCTCTGCTGTTAAGAATGCAAAGAAGTATTACAACATCATATTTGATAGTAAACAACCAAAATTTCTAAAGAAAACAAGGGTGTCTCTAAATTATGTGGTTGTGACATGTAGAAGTTTGATCCAACTTGTAATCTAACATTAAAGTGAACCTCTTTAAGTCCAGACAAAAAATTATAACAGGTTCCACAAAAGGCCTTTCGACCCAAAAGTTTTGTCTAAAGTTAAACCAATGTATACAATTAATAGTCCACATTAATATTAATGGTAGTTTTATAACCAGAATTAAATGGTTAATGCTTTAAAAGATAATAGTTGCTAATAGTGACTTTAATATAGTGGACTTTTCACTAAGCATTCATCCTGAATTTACAAAAAAGAAAAAAATTGTTGAAAAGTTGAGACTAACTTTCAGTCTAAAAAATTTTTGTGAAAACTGGCCCCTGCCTGTTAACTTCAGGACTGCGGCATAAAAGATTGCACAGTGGTTTACACAGATTCACATATTTTGCTTAGTTTCCTGATTTAGGGCAGACTCGGTTAATCCTTTATGTTAATGTCACTATGTCAGTATTATGGTATGGAATATAACAAGTATCACATGAACTCGTACACGCTACTAGGTGTTCCAGTGTTTGCTGCGGACTTGGATCTGCCTGGCTTCTTTCTTCTGCCTCCATGCTTCCTCTGTTTCCTACTGCCGTTGCCTATAAAAATAACATTATACAGCTATTGTTAATAGAACGCAACATGTGTATTCAAAGATTTGGGACTGCAGGTACCTTGGTGATAAACCAAAATCGATAAAAATTTCAAAATTTGATATTTTTTACTGTTTTATGGCTTTTTGGTGCTTTTATATGGACCACAATATGCCTGTTGATAGGATGAAAACTAAATTTTTGTAAATGATATCTCAATAATTCTGAGTGCTATTTCAGCCAAAACAAATATGAAATACTATCCTTGTGGGGGTATTCAAGCTTGCCAATGTGTTAGGTGTGACAGTGTATTAGATACAACATTGTATTGGATGTGACTGTGTTAGATGTGCCAATGTGTTAAATGTGACAATGTATTAGATACAACATTGTATTGGATGTGACTGTGTTAGATGTGCCAATGTGTTAAATGTGACAATGTATTAGATACAACATTGTATTGGATGTGACATTGTGTTAGATGTGCCAATGTGTTAAATGTGACAATGTATTAGATACAACATTGTATTGGATGTGACATTGTGTTAGTTGTGACAGTGCATGTAGCAATCAGAGGCACTCACTGTTTGTAGTAGAAGTGGAGTCTGCTGGAGAGGGATTGGATACTGCCTCCCACTGTAAGTGTTCCCTAAGAAGGTCAGTGTCTTCAAAACCATCTATATCAATTTGTACATCATCTGTCTCTGGGAAAGACCTGAAACAAATAAGGTATTCATCCATGAGATGCAAACAAAAACCTTATTACATTATTTTCAAATCCAATATTTTCAAGTAATATCTTCAATAATCAGTATATTGGTGTTCAGTGATCAAGAATAACATTATTCACTCTGACAGCCAAAGATTTGGCCACTATCAAAACACACTGATCTAAACAGAAAATGCATTTCCAACATATTTCTTAAAAAGAACCTCATAAATCTAAGATAAGAATTCTTCAAAATACAATGAATGTCCTCAACATGTGCATTAAAGATATAACATTTGACCCAAAATTTTAAAAATTATAAATTGCAAGAAAATTGGACACATTGATTGCAATTTTTTTTTGTTTGTTTGTTTTGTTTTGTTTTTTTCTTTGTCAGTATGTATTACAAATCCCACAAGAAACCTCCACTATTACTATTGAACAATTCCCATTCCATTTGTGAAAGACAGAAGACCCAGACCCCAGACTAGCACAGGCTTCTGCTCTCACACAGGTCATTTTCTTCCCCTGTCAAATTCCCAACTTGCTCGTTTGTCAAGTCTGAACCTCAGTGGTATTCTAATTTATTGAAGTCCATCACTCCAGTCACAAATGTTAGGCCTAATAGTAATGATTCAATCAGACTTGTCGCCAACTGCCAGTCTAATTAACATACATACATGAAGATATGAAAATAAAGAGTGTACACACATCTGACGAAGCTAAGGGTAACTGAGACAGGAGAGTTACTGAGAACTTTCTACATACGTGTGTCCTAGAAGCTGGCTTCTGACCATTTGTCTTTGTTCATCTGTGTGCTGAGGACATCGTAAGGATCTGAAATTAGGCACAGTGTAAAGAATTTTCAGAGCTGATATCTGGTGACAAAGTCTAAATTTATATTATTTTAACTATCTCAGTTACACACTTCAGGTTGTTGAAACATCCTTCGTCATGTTTCCAGAAGATGCAATGTCAGCGCATTGACAGGAATCTTCAATTGACAGTGTACAGAGATAGACTTAAAGAACGGTGCATTTACTGAATCTGACATCAAATAATCCTTATAATTTTGGCATACTTACTTAGTACACATTTTTCTTGTGTGTTCTGAGATCACACCACAAGTCTGGAAAATGGCAATAATTTCAATTCACAAGCTGCTGATAATAAAAACAACATATATTTCAGCAAATGAAAGTTTCCAAGTGTGTTAAATATTACTGTCTTATCTCATTTAAAAGGTATTATATTAACTTATCAGAGCTTGGAACTTAAGACTACAAAATAAGAAGATCATCTTTTTTTTTTCATAAAAGTATCATTAATCTTATGTGCTACCTTTACATCAAAGGACTCACATTAGCAAAAAATTAATGTCCTTTTCAGTCAACTTTGTCTTCAGTCAATCATCATATGACAAAATAATATTTTAACAGTGGTCATATTTCTGAGCCAAAGACAATTATTTTAAGAAATTAGCAACATCATATTTGACTGTGCAATCCCAAAGATAGCTTGTAAGATCTTCAAATAGAAATATTTTAATATAGAAGTTTCTACTTACTGAAAGTAGCAGCTGCTTTCTTTCCTCTGGAAAAATGACAAATTTTCATGATTTCTGATAATATGCATATTAACAAAGCTAGTAAATGGAAGTCCAGTTTATTATTCTTAAAGATAGAAGAATCTGCCCCTGTGTCCAAAGAGTCCTTTACCTAACTATATATCACTTACCCAGGGTCATCACTTCATATGCAGGGGTAAGTCCTGAACTTTCTGATACTGCACTGCCAACACTTGGAATATCACCTGGAATAAATAGAATAATTTATACTAATAATAATAATAATAAATAGGGCAGCGACTAGCAATGAATACGGATGATGGGTGGCGCCTCATCTTTAGTTTTAGATGCTATCATCAATTCTGGGCAAAGTAAGAACTTTGAATTTAAGTGTGTAGAGAGAACAAGTAGAGCTGTTTAACTAAACAAATACAGTTAACGTACCACACACCACTCATCAGGGAACATGCCAGTGACATTATATGTTTCCAATTAAAGAAAAGAAATAAAATTACCATTTTTATACTTGTGTATTCTGCTTCTTCTTGGGGAATCCCCTCTTTTTTCTTTCCTTAGCTTCTTTACTGAAATTCAAAAATGATGAACATAAAAATTTAACAAATTATTTCAAACACATTGCCTGCATCTTCCATCTTTCAGAAATAAGACCTATCTAGACTAGAACCTGATAAATATTTTCTAAGAAAATAGTCACATAATAAAACTAGCTAATAAAATGTGACTAATATATTATTTTTTAAAGATTTTTGTGCATTTCATATTAAATGCAGCATTTATCTGGTGAAAAAATGGTTACTTGGCTGGCAACACAGGATAAACGAGGGGCACCAGATTAAAAAAAATCACAAAGTAATTATATAATTATCTGCTTCTAGAGATGTATTCAAAACTGTGTAAACAATATCTCAACTGGATTTTCTAATCTGCATAAACTTAGGGCGTATTCCCAGAGCTTTCAGATCGATCTATCCCCGCGGGGAGTCTCACTAGATTACTGTCAGATAATTCGGCTTAAATGTCCGTCCCGCCTACTACAAGCTATAAGGGGGTAATTAACTTTCGTGCCCGCTCGGCTGACAGCTATCTAGCGTGAATCCCCAGGGAGTTCGGTCGATCGAAAGTAAATCGATCTAATCTCTGGGAATGGGGTGTTAAACACATGGATTTTTTTTTTTTTTTACTTTTTCTGTCTGTCTGGTAACTCCAATCATTGTCGTTGTCATCATCTAAGATATCATCCTCCCCATCATCATCACAACCTTTGCCTGTGTTGGCGATCCTGAAAAAGTTGAATTTCACAGTATGGTCATACTACAGTATGCAATATGTACAGTAGCCCTGTTATTTTTTTCATCTCTACATATCAAAAGACCAAATATTATTAATAAGAAAAAAGGGGCACTTTCACCACATCCTAAACCTCTTGAAGCACCAATAAAAATTAGCAACTTGGAAAGTATCAAAAAAAGCTTTATAGATCAAAGGGAGCATATCTTTGACTGATCCAATAACAACTTTCTGTTCTTCTTTTAAGTCAGAAAGCACAATTAAATATGATTCAGAGAGGAAATTATAAATGTTTAATAATGCTGTGGTAAATTATTCCCTGTGCTTCAAATATTTTCAGATTATTTTCAAATATTTTCAGATTATCTTCATAATGAACAGAGCCTCTCACATCCCTAATAAAGGGACTTCACCTTGTGGTACATACCGTCTACTAGCAATCCTGGAACTATTTCTCCCCATACCCATACATTTCTCTAAATGCGGGGCAAACCTAGAAGCAGCCATGTTCCTAGTGCAATTTGGACATACGCACTCAAACTGTTTCTTTGAAGGCACTTGACCAAATACATCCAGCCCTCTCTCATCTACAATATCATACGCTTTCTGACTCCTGTAAAAATATGGATATCAAAAGTTAATAATCCATCATTTCTCATTAAATTTGATTTTTTTTTACCTTAATATGCCACCTTGTGTAAAATTTACAACTTCAATAACGGTATTCAAAATTGACTTGGTTTGGATTCAGGGACTGTTTTGGGAAAGAAAAAAGCTGACCATCTGTATAACTTTTTGGGTACAACTGATGTATTTGAGATGAATGGCAAAAAAATTACAGTTTATTGTTTCAGCTGGACTTTTTAGAAAATAAATTCTTCAGTTATATAAACAGTAAAGTACAATGATCAAAAATGTGCACTATGCACTGCCCTGAATTCTTAAAATTTATACAATATAAAAATATTCACTAAATGCAGAACATATTCAGTTTGTTCCGTATACACACTCTTCATCAGTGGCATCCAGTAAGAAGGTCCCAATCTTGCAAGCCCTGTGCATCTCAAAGCAGAGTCCGAGAGAGATCTCATCTAAAATCTCATACATCACATCAGATGCAAGACTCTGAAATATATACAAAAAAGAATAACAATAGCAATTAATAGGCTGTAGAAAAAATACAACAACATGGTATTCCCATGCTGATGTTAGAGTGTAAAATACAATTTTATATTTATTAAAATTAAAAATAAAGCACACTTTCTGATAAGACTGTTATAAAATCCAAATTTGCTAAAACAATTTTGTACATATATTGAATTCAAGACTGTCACATCAGTTTGTGGTGCATGTTTACTAGTCATTCACTCATTTTTGATTTCATGGAGCCCTTACAAATTTCTTAGCATAGGTCCAGCCACAAAATTTCCCAAAAAGTCAAAACTGTTGAATATGGTAATATGCAGGAATGTATTCTTGCATGTGTACATGTATTTAAATTACCCGTTTCTCAAAACCATGTGTGTGTGTGTGTGTGTGTGTGTGTGTGTGTGTGTGTGTGTGTGTGTGAGAGAGAGAGAGATGTGTGCACACAAACCACCTGAGTTTCTCCGCCATTTCTCATCAAGTCAGCTGAAGTGTCATCCAGCAGCTGTGTGACGCTCTCCTCGCTGGCGCTGCCGTGACTACTGCCGCTGACACTACTGCTGCTGCGACTGTCCACAGAGGCTGCAGACTCTGGAGACGACTCAAAATACTCCATTGTGTGCATGCTGAAAAGAGAAGTTAGACACTGTATTAGCATCATTTCTAGGGGGAGTCCTACATGCAGTTTTATGAACTGAGCATCATTTCTTCTGACTTGATTCAAAATTGACCCCCCAAAAGAGACCCAGGGAAATATGGGTCTGTTCAGGCATTACCTTATTTGAATTGCTTATGGGTCTAATATTTAAGTGCTTGTTTAGAAAATGTCTCATCTAATGTAGTTGTGCATATTCTGAAACATACGCATGTGACATCAGGCTAATCAATTTTAATTTTAAGTAAAATATTTATTGCATTATGGAACTTAGCGAATATTGTAATATGACATGATATCCACCTTCTTCATACATTATCTTCCAAACATGCATCAGCAAGTTATAAGCCTCGTAGCTGTATCNGCATTTGATGATTTTTTCTGCTTCATCATAGCGTTCTTTACTTTCTTGGGGTTGTTTATCAACATCTTTTTGACTTCTATTTTCAACTGAACTATCCTCATTGTCCTGAATTAATTCCTCAGAGACGTTTTGTTCATTTTTATCATTTCCCACACTCTTTTCTTTTAAAGATTCCCTAATAACAGGATCTACGTAAGGTTTTAACCTGTTGGCATGCACAGGAGACCTTAACTGTTTATGTTTTGGCACAGTAATAAAAACATAAGTGTCTACTTGCCCACTTGCTTGTTGGCTTGTAAAAGTCACTGTAGTAAAGTCTTGATTTCTGGCTGTAGGTATAGTTATAGGTAGTGGAGTTCTTGTAAGAAAATCTCTAATGTGGCGATGTTGTGTCCTTTTTGATTCTTGAGCTCCTCCACACTGGAGTTTGAAGGTCTCTGGTCAATGTGATGGTGTCTTTACTATGGGAAGGTCTTCGTGACTGCACAATGTTTGTATTCATATTTTGTTGTCCTATTGGTTCTGTGGCGGTAGCCTGATCACTCGAATCAAGGGAACTGTGGGCTCATGACTGCTGTCTTGTGTTATAGAATGTTTTATTGGCTGCAGTGTACTGTTATAATTTGGCAACGGCAAATTTTCTGTTGATGTTGTCCATGTCAATTGCGGACTTCTTTTAACAGTTTCTTCTACTTCATCAACATCCCCACTGATCTTTTTGTTTGCTGCTGTAAAACTTCTCAATGTTCTCGGTGCAAACTTCTTCATATTTTACCAGGATCTTTTCCTTTTAATATTTATAATTAAAAGTCAGGTTCCTCCACCAATTTATCAGCGGGCGATGTCGATGAGCCAGAAACAACAGAAATGCCGTTCAGTTCCAAAATCAGAATAGTTGCTTTATTGAATTTCACTTAGATTTTTATTACAGATTACTAGTCAAAATAACATTGTTTCATGTTTATTTCTTTGACTTTCCACTGAGAAACTCTGGAAGATAACTTTCACACACACCTAATGCATGCCAGCACATCTTCAATTTTTGACTTCATTCAAGTATGTGTGAATAGAATACTTCCACAGTCCCTCAGCTTTACACCTAAATAACCTTATCATAATTAATCTCCTGCTCAAATATGTTTTGCGCCTCAAAACTTTCACAATTAAAATTAAATAATCTATTTCCAATAAAATTCTATATCATAACAGTTAAATCATTTTATTTAAAATCATGCTTAATTAAAGATACCTAAACATTATTTAATCATATCATATTCTGTTTATATGAAACTTCTCATTACTGTTAATATGCACACACAAAAAAATTTGAATTAATAAAAAAAATTATAAAGTAACATTACAGCTGGGCAGACTTACATGTAATTCCTTTAAGGTTTGTGTTCCCCAAATTCATATATTTTAGGTGTACATATATATATATATATATATGTAGCACGCACAGCTGATAATCTTCAACAATTTAGACATTAAAAACTAAATATAAGGATTGTACGAGTTATTTTTCTGTGATTTATCTGAAAAAGTACCTGGCAGATCACCTAAGTGAATCGATCACCACGATTTCGCGATCACGGTTGCTCTGTTACAACCGGCTGAGTATTTGGTTGTAAAAGAACTAAATAAGCACATTAATGATGTTTCTTCTATACTCACCTGTTAATCTACACAATTAATGTTCCCATACATAATATTAACCGCCAACAACTCCATTTAAGTGACTAATTAAAAGGTTTTTAGTACGTGCAAACACTCGCTTTTCAAGATGCATTACTCGCCATGTTGTTTTTCTCTACTGCGCAGACGCAGACGCAAAAAGCTGTCACAGTTACTTCCGGTTCTGTTCAGCTAAAAGTTTACCTGTAGGCCTATGCATGTACCGGTAGACCTACATTGTGTAGGCCTACATTGTAGTTTCGGGGCGCTGAAGGGCCCGGTTTTTTTTTTTTTTTTTTTTTTTTTTTGGTATTTTAGAGGGCCAACTGTGCCATTTGGGATGCTTTAGAATTATGATTCAGCTAGTCGAAATTCTAATTTCAAGAGTAGGGCTAACTAGTGTGATTTTTTTTTTAGAAATCAAGGGGGGAGGGGGGTCAGGACCCCCCTGACACCCACTTAATCCGCAACTGTAGAAATTTTCTCTAGAAAAGCCCCACAACCAGTATGCCCAAGTTTTCAACAAATGCTATAGGACCTATTCAAAATACTTTCAAAAGGCCTAAAATTAAAACTTAGGCTAACGATCAATGAGTGACTTTTTTAGCTGTGTGATATAGCCTAGGCCTACTAATAGACGTTTACTTCATTTTTGACCTTGCATTTTAGTTATTTTATTTTAAATTTGTTAACATGTCTTTTAGCATCCTTTTTTTTATTTATTTTTTTTTAATAGTAACTTTATTCAACTACAATGCAACGAAAAAGAAATGCAAAGTGATGTATCTATCCAACCCTCGGGTTGCACATTAAATATTAGGCCTAATAATAATAATAATAAAATACGCAACATCAATCAAATTAAGCTTGATTACCAGCTACAAAATTTAGTAAATTTAGCTCATTTATAAAATAGGCCTACTGGAAAGGAAACAAACTTGATGCATTGATCTGGCCTAGTTGATATATAGCAAACGTAGGCCTACATTTTTATCTTTTTGTCTCCTGCATATTTGGTAGCCTATAGGTAGGGCCTACTGAGGCGCTTCCTGCCATATTTCAATTCAACCACTTCACAAACTTTGCCCTCAGCGCATTCCGGTAGCAAAACATTTTTTATTAGTTCTGAGTCCACCTTTTATCAAGGTGATGTGGGTAGTAAACAACATCTCTCAAGCTTCGATTTGGGCCTATAGGTTTGTCAATAAAAGACTAACGAGCTGTATTATTAACGAGAGTCGGGTGACGCAAATGTCTCAAAATGAACCCTGGGGTATTCCGTTGCTAATAACAGACGAGGTGGACCGAATAAAACCAAGCCGCGACTAATCGAAGAAAGGAGATCGCGAAAATGTTGAGTGTGTGCACGTATGTCATTTTCGTTGCCTTTTCGGCGGTTCCATGGGAACTTGGTTATGTGGTTGCTGTGGAAATGACCCCCACAGTTATCAAGAATAAAGTACAGGGGTTTGAATACGGTGATCCGCAGAATTGCCCTCAGCAGACTGTGGACATGCTAGAAGTCATTCCCCGTAACGGCTGGGACAATCTCCGTAACGTCGACATGGGTCCTGTCATGGCACTCAACTATTCAAAGTGTCGACTAACATTGGACCGAAAATTCATGATTCCAGACAACATGTATGCCGTTCCACTAAAGAAAAGCAACGTCGAGATGACCTCGGAACTTTATACGCACTTTTTAAACTACACCGATGTCACGTCGAGCTCGATAAATCTTGAAGCGCATGCATGGTGGACCTTTGGGTCTATCAGCGGCTCTTTTTCAAGGTCTTACCAAAATTCAAAGATGCACAGCACGGAAGATAAATCTGTTCTTAGCAGGGCGCAACTACGTTACGTGTTATACAAGATCCATAGTCAGCCAGACCCCCAACTCCACCCCAACTTCAAAGATCGTCTGCTAGAAATTGCGTCCTATATACAAAAGGGGGACAAAGACAGTGTCACTTATCTATCGGAGCTTCTTGTTCGCGATTACGGTACTCATTTTGTTACCGGCATTGACGCCGGAGGAGCAATCATCCAAGAAGACCACTTAGATTCATCGTACGTAAAAAACATGGACCATGACCGGTCTACTATCAAGGCTTCGGCTAGCGCTTCTTTATTTGGGTTAATCGGTGCCAGTGGGTCTTATACCCATACTGTAAAACACGACCAACTAGAAAAATATCTCCGGAGTCGCGTGTCCTTTCACATAAAGACATTGGGGGGACCACCGTTTCGCAGCAATTTCACGTTAGACCAGTGGGTGGATGATTTGCAAAACAACCTTGTAGCCGTGGACCGCAAAGGTGATCCACTCTACTACATCATCACGACAGGTGCGTTACCAGAGTTACCGCTGGATACAGTGCGTGATTTAGCCGACAGCGTTCAGAAAGCGGTGAAAAGTTACTATTTGTATAACGTCTATCGTGGCTGCACTAGTGTCGACTCTCCAAATTTTAGCTACATTGCTAACTTTGATGATAATACCTGTGTAAATCCTTCCACAAATTTCACGTTCGGGAGTGTTTACCAGACATGTTCTGGAGGACTGTGTTCTCCTGGGGATTCCCTGGTAAACCAGAAAACTGGAACGTTTTCCTGCCCTCCTCAATACACCGCGGTCCTTTTAGATGAAGGCAAACTGCACCAATGTCACCAGGAATGTAACCATTTTTTGTTTATCACCTACGGCTGCCATGACGTATGTAAGGATAGAAATTACCAGATTTACTGGTGTGCTGCCACTGGAGAGGTTGAACAAGAGTCGGGCTTTTTATTTGGTGGTACTTACACAGCCAGTGCGGACAACCCACTGACGCAGGGAAAGAGTTGTCCGGATCATTTCACAGCGATTAAACTGGGTGTGCCGCTTCCTATCTACATATGTGTGAATGACGATTACGAACTGGGATTTCGTTATGCCATACCTTTCGCCGGTTTTTTCAGCTGTTCCTCGGGAAATCCGCTCGCTATTTCGCCACACACACCTTACCTTCACAACCGCTCTGTCGTAGGGGCGACGTTGGGTTCAGCTGCTATCACGCCTCTTTGGCCCAAAAGATGCCCTCACGGTTACAGTCAACACCTCCTTGCAATAAACGAAGGTTGTGAGATTAACTACTGTGTGAAAGCCCACGCCCTGACGCCAAATGCTTTACCCATTATCAGACGGCCGCCGTTCCAATCGAAGCCCATGGAACCGAGCGAATCTGCCAGCCGTTCCAGTGAGACTGGGCTCACTGTTGTCGTTGCCGTACTAGGCACGGCTCTGTGTGGAGTCATTGTAGGACTGATAGCGTTTGCGGTAGTAAGGCGTCGCCGCCTGTCCTCGGCGTCTGCAGATGAGCATGGCGCGCTAGCTAGTGAATGACGGTGACTTGGGAGAACACATGAATACATCTGGAGTGTGTTTCCATATTTCCGTTTTCAATTTTTTTTTCAGAGACCAATGCTTTTGAGCGTCTTTTTGAAAAAAAAATAAAAAATAACGTTAAATCAATTAGTATAGACTAAATAAGTTACGCGAAGGTGTACCTTTCATCTCATCAGAATACGTGAGGACTAAATTTGCCATTTCTGAAACGGATTGTGTTCTTAATAGTGCTCTATATAGTATTCATTTATATATGTTGTTATAACGTTATGATTTAAAAGACCTGGTGGTTAGCTCTAAAGCAAGGTCCGAGTGCATTCCTTGTTGATAGGATACAGAGTTACGTTGGTGAATATAAGTATTTGTAAATTTAATTATTTTATACTGTCTGGTTCAACTCTAAACCACTTTTGTATAATAGCTAAGAAATCAGCTAAGTGTGTAGTTTAGTGATAAATTTGCCTTTTTTGACTTTTCAATATATAATTTCCGAAAAGTATTAACTTTTGTTGAAATGTCTAGGTAATACATTGATTTTTGGTTTTGGAAATAAAGCTGCGGTGTTGCGTAACTTTTTTCTTTATTCTTTTTTCTCCGAGTCGATAACAAATAGTTGAAACGTTCAAATTCGCAGACGGTCCCCCCCCCTCCCTCGCCCCGGTAAATCACATTTTTATAATAACATATGCCTATCATATACAGATTATAGAATTGACCCTAAGGGAAGATACCAGTACTTATTTAGATCTCATCTAACAGAATGGAGTATGTACTTCAGTAATCTATCTTCTAATGCATTCCAGTGTATATTGATTAAATGATAATTGCCACACGGGGCGGACTGGTGCCGTCTTCTGGGTGTTCCGAAAGACGGTCGGAATTTTTACAGTTTACATTGACGGGCATCTATTTTTTTTTCTGTCGGAAGACAGTCAAAAAAGGAGGATGGTTCAACAAAGATAATTTAGAAGACTGCTGGAAAATATCTCTGTATCCGCCCCTGCGGTTTGCGTGGGCATTTCATTGGTCCTGTTCATGCTGGATGCAAAAAATACGTTTTGGTACTCTAAAGCATGTGCCCTGCCCGTCTGCCCTTGCATTTCTACTTTTACCATGGATAAATCTTGTAGTCGCCATGCACATCCTAAGGATTTTCACTCACAAACGCAATAAAAGGAAAACAATGTTTCTAATTATTCTCAAACGTGTACAAATGATTCATAGAACTTAAGTATTTTTCGATTTTGAAAACCAGCTTGATTGGGTTTTCATCATGAAGTAATTATTTTTTTCACAAAGTCCAAGTGAAGTAATATTTGATTGTCTCTGTTACTATCAGTTTTGACATTTACCGGTATACTAATATTTCCGTCCTTTGGGAACCTTTGCTGCCTAGTTTGTAAATATTGCCGAAATGTTATTTACTATTTTGTATTTAGTGACTGGATTTATGCTTTTGCCCTCAAGTTTAAAAAAAGGCCTGTCTGAAATAAAACATTTAAAACAAATCAAAGGTTTTAATATCTTTATTACTAACAGTTCTTTAAAATACACATACAAACGTATGACATAACCAAATGCCCTATATAATCTTACATCGAACGATTAGGTATAGCGGGAGTTTCCGTATGATCTGTTCATACAAGACTACTTTATACCTAACTTACGTCACTATATTACAGATATTACAGCCAAACCCAATTTTTATATAATCTGTGAGATTCTCATTAAGTCTTCGTTGTAATCCATTCAACTTCTTAAAAAAGAATCTCCTTTTCACACTCGATTTGAAAGTTGGTTTAGTCAACAGAAACTACTTCAGTGAAAAGTCCAGTCTTTATTCTCCAAATATTTATCATCAATACACGACTTCAGTGGGAATAAAAGCCCTGTTTAACAAAAATTAAGAAATGGGGTGATGTTTTTCGGACAAATATTTCAGTGAGCCCGAGCAAACAAATACTGCCCCTTAGCAAAATGAAAAGTTTGCAGCAAACTTGCAAAAAATTTGCAGCAAATTTGCTGCAAACCAAATAGTTTGCAAGAAACTGTTTGCAGGTTGTTGCAAGAAAAATCACAGTTGTTGCAAATTTGCTGCAAATTTGTAGAAAGATTAAAAGTTTGCAGGTAGTTCGCAAGAAAACTATCATTTTCTAGCGAATTCGCAGCAAANCACAAAGCTGGCCCCAGGTAAATTGAGTAAATCGATATTGTAAATATGAATTATTTAACTTAAAGTGGCTGCGTGAAACCAGTTTTCGTTCGTCTAATGACGCATGTATCACCATTTCGGTCTAAAGCAATCCTCGTCTGAACGCAGTTTTATGGTGCTGTAACATGGGCGTACTTTCAGATGCATTGGTATCTCTAATATAAAACATTCAAACTAAAAATATATATTAAATAATAGATAAAAACATCGACAAAAGAGGGCAAAAAAACATTTATAGGATTCGAAGAATGAAATGACGAGGGTTCTTCCGGCATCGGCGCTAATAAGAAAATAAACAAAATCATTGTGTCATACATATATAAGATCTCCCTTCTATATAATTCATTGTGAAACCCTGCATTTCTTAAACAGGGTGAATGTAACACACTTAAAATGCTTTTAATAAGTACAGTGCTGAAGGCCATATTATAATATATATTACTCAATTTTACTTCAGATCACATTCGACTGATATGTCTTTGCGTAGACTGACATTAGAGAATGATCTTTCAAATAAATAGATGCAACATGAAGGGCAATATAAAGAGGGAAAATCATTTTAAAAGTGTTTATCAGTGTAAGCAATATCTTTTCACAGTAACTACTAAACAAATTCGAATATATTATTTCACATGCCACTTATACGATAGCCGTAGCCTGTAACTTTCCTAACGTGTACAACAATATATCAATTAATCAACAGATTAAGAAGTGCCTAGAGATATTATACGTCTGTCATCGTGTCAGTATACGTCTATGTCGGTTTTAGGGTTGTAAACTATATAGGACATGCATTACTAAAATGTTAGAAACGCACGTCCCATTAGGACGTGCATTACTACACGTAGGACTTGCATTACTTGGGAGCCTTGGTCTTACAGACATTGAATCCTATAATGTATGTCCTAGGTCTTCCATTCCTAGCAATACATGCCCTAGGGCTTGCATTCCCAGGACTTAGTGTCCGGGCGGACTTGCGTTACTAGGACGTGCACCCCTTCCACACCAGCGTCCCCATTCACAGAATTTTGCGTCTTGGGGGCATCTTCCTTGCTGTCAGCATGATCCCGTTTATCACCCTCACTGGTGGCCGTGCCCTTGCTGAGACCGGTCTGAAGCGTTCTGCTGGCGCTGTTCTCCCTTTCGAACTTCTTCCCTGTACACTTGCAGACAAGACAGGACACCATGGAGAGAAAGCGTTGTCGGTACTGCTGATTCCAGATGACGTAGATGAAGAAGTTGATGGAGTAATTCGCTGACTCCAGTAACGAAGCGATCTCGCGATACACCTGGAATCCTGGTTCATCGGTCTCGAAAATTTTCCTGTCTAGAGAAGAAATATTAGTTACGTGTAGGTTGTTGGATTTTAAAGCAGGAAATTGACTGTTAGTACTTGCATAAAAAAGAACCATTATCTTAGCCAATTATGACACGATGGCAAATCTTGGAAATACATATGAGGAATGCCATCATGTAATTTGACTGCCATCAGGGATGCTTGCTAAGGTACCTGTTATTTAGACGTTTGGAGACGTCAAACATCCTTTTACTGGTTACAATTATTCATTCGTTAACATTTATTGAAATTGCTCAGATGATCTGTACTGCGAGCAGGCTATACGTATGACGTCTTCATTCTTTCTTTCACAAATAAAGCACAAACATGAAAAAAAATCGCCATATTTAAAATATAGGCACTAGCATTATATGTACGTCTGACATGGCACAACTGCGTTTGTCGAACTTGTCTTATACTCAGCGCCATAAAAGTTGCGTTTGACAAAGGTTATATGAAAGAGGGCAAATGTCGCTGACTTGGCAGCCATCTTGGAACTGCATAATTTTGGGCACACAGCACACAAGGAATAAAAGGGCACGTGGTGACTTAAATTTTTTATGTCAATTTCATGCCAATTTTAACCACTTCCTATTCACTTACCCGTTATTACTGTCACAATGTGGGCGGTAGCTATAGGGTTAACAAGCACCAAGAACGCTATGGCGACACCCAGGAGCAGGGCCGTGCTCTTGTTGGTGTTGTCCTTGTTCTTTAAGGAGCTCTGAGACTTGTCGCTGGTAATGGAAAGAGCGCGACGCACTCGGCGCTGGCTGTATAACCGTCCGATGATGAGTGAGGTCAAGACCAGGAGAATAGCTGGGGGGATATGAAATAAATGAAATAGTAGGAATGACTTGATGGAATAAAAATGCTGTCTTATTTGTACATCATATAATAGACCCGTCAACATTTTCTGACATGATGTTGACAAGCGGCACTTGCATTAATATGAGAAACGCAAAACATCACTCTAATATTTTAAGGTATTGTTATCCGGATATCCACGGCGATATTATACAAAACAGGAAATCTAATATTCAAGTACCCTACATTTATGGGTGTAAGAACTAAGTCAGTTGTCCTAAAGGAACACAGAAAAACAAGTTTTTCATCTTTCCATCAAACTGTCAGTGAACGAGCAAACGCTAAACCGTTTACCCACTTCATAATTTTAATTAAAATATATTTGCCATTGCTCTCCGAATTAATAACACTCAAGCAAACACCACTTGGATAGGTGAGAACAAATATGATAAACAATAAGCGTTGATATTTTACTTTCGTCATTAGAGCCCCTGGAGATGAGTTACTTCCATGTGTAAGTATGACCGAAAAGTGTCATCTTAAATGAAACAATTAGAATTATTGATATCATAAGGAGAGATTAATATACACGTTCTCATCTTTCTTAATAAAGGCAAGTGGTGTTAACTAGCCGAAACCACAGTACAATGTTTTTAGACGTAATAACCACGTTAAAACAAAAGTGATAAGAATAAGGCAATTTAAACCAATCTCTAGCAGTTATAGATTCATTGACAGAATGACGTTCGAACCCTTCAAACTGTATCTTAGATAAGCCGTGTGTCCACCTTTCTACTTTTAAAAAATAATTTAAAAAAATGTTGTCTTAAACTTCGTGCTCAGTAGAAGGTGTTTATCCAATGATGTTTTTGCGCATGTAAACTGTATGCATCAGAAGAGAAAAACACCAAGTAAAATTTCTTAAAATTTGTAAAAAAATATTATACTCTCGCGTGAGCGATGAGATCGAAGAGAGAGAGAGGGCAAGACAGAAAGAGGGAGAGGGAGAGACAGAGAACGGGAGAGAGAGAAAGATAGAGATACAAATAACAAGTTAACTATAAGCCTTCCCACTAAAACTTACCTGTAGGAATAACGGAGTAGACGAAGCTGCCCACCCAAATGAACCCCACAGTCACAGTCTTGAATTCCGGGCTGGGGGCGTAATTTGGACTGCACGTACCCGAGGGGGTGAGATTATCGGCAACCCAAACTGAAATATAAGATGCACTGCAAAAATAGGTGAAATCAACACTTTGTTTTGTTTTCACTAACTGATATTTCAAAATCCCCAACTAATTTTCTCTTCATTTAAAAAAGGTCATTTAAAAGAAGGGCTTAAAGTAAAACTGTTTTACGCTGTTGTTGGTTTATAAGAATACAGAATATGAAGGTCTGGTGACTTTTCTCTAAAGAACATCCAAAATACAACGACAGAAGAGACAAGTTTCAGTTTATTGATTTTCGCTTTGAACGCTGCTCGACAGGATTTCAATTTTACACAAAAATGTAAACTTTTGAGATGAATCCAAAATGATTTATTCAATTTTTCAGCTAAATGTATGACTTTTGCTCGGTTTGGAGTAATTCACGATGAAAAACTCAGGAGGCGTAAAATCCCAAAATATAATAACAACACAAAATATTAATCACCAAACCAATCAATAAGAATAAATGTCGCAAGAGCTGTTTGGTGTTAATGTAAAAGCTGCCAAAGTCTTTAATAACAATTCACACAATGGGGCAAAAGTGTTAATGAGGTTAGATATCATTCATGTTGTGTAAATGTTGTGTAAATGTATGTTTGTGGGCTGGTTTGTGTATGTATGTACGTGGGCGAAGAGAGAAATCGACAAAAGCGCCCCCTTGCGACTCACTTAAGCCGCAACTTCAATATTTTATTAGCAAAACGGTAAAAGTTTACTGGTAAATTGGGGTTAATTTTGGAATTGAATAGCATTTTTGATATTCGCTAATCAAAAAATAAATAAATAAAAGGGGGGGGGGGGGGGAAANTTATTATTATTATTATTATTATTATTAGAATTAAGAGAGAGGATAGCTAACACCCAAACCATTGCTTTAAAGAGTAATTTACAGTCCTGTCCAACCTTTCTGTCTAAATTTACGGATTTTACTTATTAAAAATGAATGAAAATTTTGCCACGCGGAATGGGAGCGGTGATAAAAGAACCCCCTCTTTTCTTAAATCGTGAATTCTAGTATATCAAATTGTTTAATTTATTTTAGCTTCAATGCGTATAAAGCATTTGCACGGTTGGAGATGTATTCCAAAAAAATTATCTAGTTTATGAATTGAAAATGCTGGAGCACAAATTCCTCTGAAAGTTGTAAAAGATTAAAAGAAATATCAAAACGTACCCCAAGCAAAGTTGAATGCTCCAATACAAATGTAGTCTAGAGCAAGAGCAATCCTAGCGTTCCTTTTGGTACACAAGGTCCTCACTTTAAGAGGAAACCATACTGCAATAAATCTGAAAATAGAACACACTAGAATGGATGCAGATAATCATGCGTTATCTCAAATTTTTAAAACTCTCGAGATTTAAAAAAGGGGACGGGGTATTTTAACATTATCTTTCTAAAGAAAATCTGTTTTATTATCATGGCATCATTACCATTCACGTAACAATTGTAAGCTATTTTAAATGCCTCTCTTAAAACAACCTTCAAAAATCACCTTTCAATGGCAACAATGACCACAAACCAAGATGACGTCATCTTTGCCATTCGCCAGAACCAAAAGAACACTTTACAGCTGAAGAGGGAGAAGGAGCGCACGTCTACACCTATCATCTGTTGGAACCACTTCTTGTTGAACGGCGCCATGACCACCAACAGCGAGTCGGAAACAGACAGGGCAATGAGAAGCGTGCTGATGGTCATTTTCTGGAACTGCTTGCCGCTCATGATCAGAATGGTGAAGGTGTTCCCGGTGAGGCCCGTTATCAGAAAAAAGGGAATGGCAACGTAGCCGACATAATCAATCTTGCCAAGGGATGGCGATGGAGAGGACGAGTTGGTGGCGCCCGTCGAGGCGTTTAGAGCGTTAATATGGACAATGGTGTCATCATCATCATCACCATCAGCATCAAAATCGTTCTTTGGCACAGTGGAATTTTGTAAGTCGTCAGAGGTGCCCGTGTCGGCGGTAGGGACAAGTGTAGGAATGGTCGAGGTAGACTCCAATGACCCTCCCGTGGTGATTGCCCGAAGCAGAGTGGAGTTCCCATAGCCGCTTAGAAAATCGCCAAGTCTGTCATCTGGCACTGTTGAATCTGGATGGGAATCCCCATTTACATAAGGCAGTAAGACCACGAGTATCTGGCACAGCGAGACGACCAAGGAACAGCGAAGTGATAATGGCATGCCTGTGTTTGATCTGTAACGAAATGTCGGACCAAAGAATATGATTCTCATAACTCAAAAAAAATCTGAACCCCCATTGTGGGTCCATGATCGTGCCACAGGGATGATCACGCGAGATAAACATTCCTTATGCCAAAAAATTGTTGCCATATAAAATATACTGAGCACAATATTGGGAAACCACTATTCTGTCTTTAAAAAAAAGCATTAAATAGCAATGCGAGTTAAATAGGTTTTGGACTGTTTTAGGAAGGGATGCTGCTGATATATAAAAGCTACAAAAATTTAACGATATGTAACAAATGGGTATACAGTGTATATCAGTGAAGGATTCGGGGTCTGGCTAAGAATTAAACAAAATTTATCAGCCTCGCTTAGCCTATACACTAATACAGCAAAAAAAAGACAATTTCATCATAATATGTACAGTACAAAAGGGCGAATTGTTTGGCTTTTTTGTCAAAATAAAGCAAGTTTATAAAAAAATTATAACGAAATGAAAGTTGACGAATTAAAAAGGGGGTTGTCGATACAACCAAATCTTTCAATGACGTCCTTTTTAATGCTCGAGAAGATAACAGATAACGTTGCCGTTTCAGAGAAAAAAAAGGAAAAATTGTCCTCATGGTCGTTTTAAGCGTATTTACCGGTGTTGTAGAAATAGTAGTCTTTGAAGAACCGCAGACCGTTCCAATTACTTTGTACAGGTGTCATTCGTTTCATATACTAACTTCAATACTCCAACTTACCCTAGCCTGTATTATTCATACATGTATTATGGATTTCCATTCCTAGGACTACCACTCCAGTCACAACGGAACCAGTTCATCTACTTTGGTTTTATGATTATCATTACATGCACACAGACCAAATCGAGACGATAAAACATAAGTTACATAACATACAGACTTTCCAATGAGAAAACGAAATAAAAAGGCGCTCTTACCTGAAAAAAATTTCGCCAATTTCCAAGCCAGTCGTTAAAGGTTTCTTTGAAAACTGTCTGTCTACAGACACTTCGTCAATCTCTACATCAATTGCAAGCGCTTTGTCCGATTAAAGTCTGGACAAAGTGGACCCCTCCCTTTGTATTTATAATGTACGGTGAAAGGTGAGCGCGATCCGATTGGGCAAATATTGTGAAGCTTGTCTGTGTAATAATCCGTACCAGAGGTAGTTTCTATCTGTCTCTTCGCAATTTATTTCTTCACGAAATAAATCAACAATCACACGTATGGTATATAATTACGCTCTTATTATTCTTGAACACCTTGGGAAATTAATAAGTCGGTTAAGTAACAATTTTCTGCAATTTGCAGTTTTCTGGTCAATTATCAGCAGTTTGACAATAAGGTATCAGAGGGTCTTCCTCAAAGCCGTTTCATAATCTGTAAAACAATTGAGCTAGTAAACAAATATTTTTGACCTGAATTCTTCCAGAAATGGAAGTTCATGAACCCGTTTCATTTGCCAGAAGAATGAAAATCGACGTTATGTAGAGTGCAAGGCCGTTTCAACTGTAGAAAAACAAAGAGTAGAAAATAATAACCCCTTATCAAATTCGTTTTGGCTGTGTGGTCTATGGTGTTGTTTGTTTCTACCCTCGAGCACGTCGATTATCCTTGTATTAAATCATCAAGTGTGAAGAGGCTTAAATGGCGGTAGCTAGCAAACACATGTACCTGTAATTTCAGTCAATTCTGATGCATAAGAAAATGTGCAACATATAAGGTTGATATATGGAACTGTTTTAAAATGTTTTAATTTTACCTCCGCGTTCATGAATTAAAGTTGATATCAAAATGGGTACGGAGACCATGAGCTTCAAAGCATTGACAATTGCTCTCTTTGACTCAGCGTCCCCTCTCAGTGCCTGTGTAACAAAACTAAGGGCCCGTGTAACAGAAAATCAGCCCCCCATTTACTTATAATGGTTAGGCTTAGCCTAACCTAAAGTGGGTCAAAATCTACGGCGAGGCTTACCTGTACAAATGAATGGGAAGCGGGCTCTTTGTCATGGGGGACTCTCTGCCACGTTACACCGGCGATCGCTCTTTACGGTTCTGCCAATGCTTTTATCAGCGTTTTAGCAACGAAGCATTGTGGCAGAAAAAAACAGATTTCATGAGGAGGCCGTGAAGGTTTGGTGCGCATATAGCTACGTATAGAATGCTTGTTTTTTTAACACAACCCCTCCAACTTGTTACCAGTATTATACAATATTTCATATTTCCATCAATTCTTGGCCTTTAAATATGTATAGATTATCAAACCTACACTAAATTAGGGACAAGGAACCCATTTTTGATATCACGGAAGCAAATGGCGGTCATTTTGTGCCTCAAATCCAAGTAGTCGCCATCCGCCATTTTGAATGTGTGGACACAATTTTGCTATTTTCTGTTGAATTTCTAAGTGTATAATCTACATTTACTTGATATATATCGATTACTAATATTTTGTGGGTGCAAAAGTAATTTTTGATATTGTTTAGGTGATAAAAGGTGATTTGAAGGGACAAAGAGGGTGTTTTAAGTGACTACCAAGATATATATGTGTGAACGCTTCAAAACAATGGATTTTGGTAATCCGTATTTAAATACATCTCAATGCAATTTTATGTTATAAACCATAGATACTGGACGAAATTATGAACAAGAAACTCTTTTTTTGGCATTATGGAGGCAATTGGAGGCCAGTTTGTCCCTCAAATTCAAGATGGCCGCCAGATACCATTTTGAAATTGGGCATAATTCACCATTTAAAACTATGACACCTTCATAAGCGTGCCATACGTCGTTTCTGATTATTTCCTGGTGCAGAATACGTTTTTGGTGTCATATGTTTCATAAAATTTAAATAGAAACTTTTATAAGCATCCAAATTAATATAGGATTCAGTCGTCACATGTTGTGTCTACAGCTATAATTAGTAGTCTAATTTGTACAAAACTATGTTTCTTAACATATTTAAAGGATTTTGCCTGATCTATTAAACAAGTGTCAGTAAACAAAATGGCTGAATTAAAGAAAAAACATCATTGACCGCATGAGGAAATTTTTTGGCCATTGTTTTGATTAAAACCAAGTGTTGGTTGCATGCCGCCATTTTAATATTTTGGTGTAATTTATCATCTTTGAACTGTGGGACCCTCGTACGCTTGCAATAGGTCGATTGGTACTATTCTGGGGGCTCAAAAGTAATTTCTGGTGCTAATTTGGTGACGGAAGATAATAAAAAGGTCATAAGGTTTTAAAGTAAATTCTAAGATGAGTTTCGTTGAGTGTGTTAAAAAAAAACGTGGAGCCCGAACATCATGCTAAAATATATCAACTACATGTAGATTTATCATAAGTGACCATCCACTGAAAGATACTGTATAATTGAAAGGTAACCAATAAATATATATACGTAGTGATATTAATCTTTTACTGGTCACTGTGAAAAAAGGCCACATGTACATTTATGTCCCAGTCACTGGGGCTTGCATTTGCATGTTAAATATAGTCCAGAAGATTTGAAGGGTGAAAAATGTGTGGTCTTATCATACGATGGAACTTGGTAAGTTGTGTTGATGCGTAAATGCCCGTGAGAGACAAGCAAATGGGCTTTGCTTTGAAATAGCTCCAGATCTTGTCTGCAAAATCATCCAGCAGCACAGCACAAAGAAACATGCATGATCAGCTCTGGTAGGCCAATAAGACAACAGCCAGTAAGAATTGAGCTTTGGTCAGTGTCCTGTGAGGAACAGACATAAACAATATATTAAAATCCAGTTTCCAGAGAAACATCAATGCATGGGAACAAGTCGTATCAGAGGAAAGTGGTATCTTTACACAAAAGAAGGAATCTGCAAAACCAACCAGAAAACAGCAGTTGCGCAGGTAGGCAAGGGGGAAAATGCAAAAAAAAAGTCCAGGAAGCAGCCTCCTTTCCTAGTTGACAGTGCCAGTGATCCTTCCTAGCACGATTTGGCCAGACAAGTCATCTCTCTACCAATAGAAATCCACAAGGCGACTACATAGTTCTCATTGTTTCCAATGGACGAACACGCACAAAACATCTACAGCATGTGACAACTACAGGAAAATTCATCTTGGAATTCACTTAAAACACCTTATGCCTTTTTAAATATCCCCCGTCACCAGAACAGCACTAGAAATTAATTATGTAATTCTAAAATAGCAACAATTGATGCATTACGATCATATGAAAGTCCAACAAGTCAAAATGGTAAATTATGCCATAATGATGAAAGGAAAACAATGGTTCTAATTATTCTCAAATGTGTATAGATGCTTCATAGAACTTAAGTATTTTTGGATTTTGAAAACCAGACTAATCGATTTTTCATCTTAAAGTAATTAATTTTTTCATCAATTCCAGGTGTGGATCTGAAGTAATATTTGAGTGTCACTGTTACCATCAGTTTTGACATTTATATTTCTATTTGGGAAGCATTGCTGTTTTGTTTGTAAATATTGTCGAAATGTTATTTACTATTTCGTGAATGGATTTATGCTTTTTACCTCTAGTTTAAAAGGAGGCCTTTATGAAAAAAAATTAAAATCAAATCAAAGATTTTGATATATTTATTACTAACAGTAAAATACACATACAAACGTATGACATAACAAAATGCTTCATATTAATCTTACATCGCACGATAGAGGGAGCTTCCGTATGACCGGTTCATAGAAGACTACTTTAGACCTAACTTCCATCACTACATCAGACATTGGTGACATACAGATATTACAGACAAACCCAATTTTTATGTAATCTTTGAGATTCTCATGCAGTCTTCCTTGTAATCCGTTCAACTTCTTGAAAAAAGAATCGCCTTTTCAATTACAAAGCGACCTTTTTCACAGAACAACTCGATTTGAAAGTTGATTTAGTGAACAGAACATGCATCAGTAAAAAGTGCGGTCCTTTCTCTGCAAATATTTATCATCAATACACGAATTTATTGGGAATATTAGCAGTGTTTAACAAAA